CCCTCATTCAATTCTTGTATGATGGCTTGGTCAATAATTCCTGTTCCACCGTCAACCATTAACATATGCTTGAAACCATCCCATAAGGTAAATTTCTCTTGTGCCAACATATAAATAGAAGTTACCTAAACCATTAGTGATTTGCTTTATAACTCATAGGAAATCAATGACTAGATATCCCTACCAGTTCAAATAGCAAAATATACTTAAAAGTCTCTTATAGCTTTCTTGTTTGATAATCTCAATCACATGTTGATAATATATATATATATATATATATATATATATATATATACACACACATACACACACACACACACACACACACACACACACACACACACACACACACACACACACACACACACACACTGTGTGTGTGTGTGCTTTGGCTTAGTATCTATATGCTACATATGGTGGTACTAGTGATACCACCATGCATGAACCAACATATGATGGTACTAGTGGTATCATCATGCATGAACCAACACAAAGAGCTAATAACCGCAAAAAATCAGGTCATCACCAATCAGAAAAATAAGCAGAGTAATTTCTAAAACACACTAGTTTAAATCCCGAGTATACCGATTATCCTTATTGTATGTTCCTAAATAAATAAGTTTTTGAATAGTCCGTCGATGAGTTAGTTTAATGGAAGCTTTTTTTTTACAAAAAGTAACTATTCAAACAACCCCTAATAAAAGTAATAGCCTCCATATAAATATACCATTTTCAAATGAGTAGATATGATAATAATTGGTTTCTTGTAGGACAATGTCATGCCCAACAATTGAAAAGGGTTGGCTAGGGAGAGGCAAGGCAGCTAGGGTTGCTGCCTATTAGGAAAAAGAAATATGATGAATAGGTTTCACAAAATTTAGTAGTTCAAGCACAAAGAAAACTTGCTATGTTTGTTTTTATTATACGGTTGGTTAAGGACTCGTTTGGTTGGACGCCAATAGGTGCCAAGCAGAGGCGGATGTCAGAGGTCTGCCTCTTCCAAAACATTTTGTAAATCTTTTAGTAAAATACCATTGTAACTTTTAAAAAAATCTATGTAATGTAATGAAGGTAACTCCAATGACTTCAATGATGTTTTTAGCTAGATTCCCCTCTGCAGCCAAGACAAACTTCAGTTGTTGCCTCTATTTGGCTTGCCCCGACTAGCGCTGCCAACATGCATGTGGTTAATTTTCCCTTCGCACGACCAAATCGGGATGGCCGGTTGTCAAATTTGGTAAAGCACGCGTCCACGGACTGAATCAAACAAGCCCTAAATAAACAATTTTTATGATTATCCAAGGATTAATTAGATGGAAGCCGGTTTTCGTAGAACTAGGAACTATCCAAACAGCCCTTTATCAAAAAGAGAAGAGATTAACAACCGTATATAATATAGATATACCATTAATTAATATATGACCTAATGAATGAGAAGAGATGGTAAAAATCGTTCTCACACACCAAGCAATTGTGCTTATGTGCATGCTGCCAAGGAGAGTGGAGAGAGGCACCTGTGTGTTGTTTTGTGAGGGCTGGGTAGGGCAGGTAGGGTCACCGCTTGCCTCAGGCAACCGTCGCCGGATTCACCTTCACCAACGGCCACCCACCGCGCCTTATCCGTTTCCTCGTCACCGGCCGGCGGGACCCGCGGGATCTGGGCTCCACGTGCAGGTACGGTACCTGTACCCATCCTAGCTTGACGACCGTTTCACCGCGCGGTGAAGGTGAAAGCGAGAGCGGAGGGCGCCCGGACGCCGGCGGGCCGACCGTCGCTGTCCCAACGGCTACGAACCAAGCCAGACTGCCTGCCAGTGGATAGGAAAGGATCAAAGGAAGCGAAGGTCGTTGGCTCGTTGCCTGCCTGCCTGTTTGCCTCGTTGGTTACCGCATGTACTCCGTACTTTGAATGACAGTTTGACCGCCTCGTGCCCCCCCCCCAGCCAGAACCAGTCAGTCAGTCAGTCAGCCCGTCAGTTACGCTGGCCCTGTGTATGTGTGCCGCCGTTTCCCTTCAAACTTCTTTCAAAAATCTTTGATCAAACTTCATCCCCCGTCGTACCGTGCTCGCTAATACTAGTACTCCATACCGCGTCAAACCATTTTACTATGTATATTATTACATATTTGATCAAATCTGTACTCTTTTATTAAAGAATGCAATTAAGATTTTGAATAAATCAAACTTTCCTAAATTTAACTAAGTTTATAGAAAATAGTTTCACAATCTGTATCTACAAATATATTTACTATAAAATATATTTTATAATTCATCTAATGATACTCCCTCCGTCCCTAAATGTTTGCCATTTTCGCTTCACAAGAAACAACTTTGACTAATTATATATTGAAAAATATTAATATTTATGGTACATAATTAGTATGATTGATAGATATTTGAATCTAGTTTTTAACGAATTTATTTGAAGATACAAATGTTGCACGCATTTTCTATAAATCGAGTCAAACTTATCGGCACGCAAACCGTGGCGACGACACATTTAGGGACAGAGGGAGTATTTGGTATCATAAATATTTGTACTCTCCATATTCTAAAATGTAAGTCATTTTGACTTTTTTAGATACACCCTTTTTATTTATACATCTAGATATATACTATGTCTAGATACAAAGCAGAAGCTATATATCTAAGAAAAAGTTAGGACGACTTATAATTTGGAATGGAAGGAACATTTTCCTATATAAATATTATCAAACTTAAATCATTTTTGCTTCTTGAGAAGTGAAATTTTGCATTCTTTTTGGGACGAAGATAGTACTAAAACTGCCGATACTCGAGATACCAAATAGGTATAATTCTTCGTATTATTATTATTCATTTATACTTATGGTATCAAATATGTCTGTGCATTATGACAGTTCATTGCCTAGTTATCTAGGCAATTTGTGGCTCGAAGATATTTAACTATTACAACATCTGTTTCAATATATCTTAGATTTCAACTTTATAAGTGACTAGAGGACATGTTGTTCTAACTCATATGAGTTGACAATTTGGATATTAATAGTTTTCGATAGACTTGGTTAAACGTTACATGGTTTGATTAGAATAGAGCTATAATAATTTTACCCCTCCGTTTCACATTACAATACATTTTGGCTTTTTAAGATACATAACTTTTGTTATATATTTAGATACACACTATGTCTAGATATATAGTAAAATTGACATATATAAAAAAAACAAAACGTCGTATAATTTGGAACGGAGGGTACATCAATTTTTTAAGCGGACGCAATACTACCAACTTGTTTACGAGACGCTTAGCGGCATGTCATCATGGGGTGACCGGTGACAGCAGCAAAAGTAATACTGCCTCTGTCCAAAACAAAGCATTTTAAGCAGTTAACATATCTTTAAATATAACTAGATTTATAGAAAATAATATTAATATTTATATCTCCTATAGATTTAATATAAAAATATGTTTTTATGATTATTTTAACTGTACTTGTTACACTCATAAATATTAGTATTTATATAAATTATTAGTTGAATTTATAATTTATATTATTATTTTTGGACGTAAGAGTGAATAAGTTCACATATTGTGCTCGTGCGTGTGTCGAGCCACTCTCGCAGTCCAGAGTATCAATCACAGGCCGGTTCAGAGGCCCAGTTTGAGGTTCTGGCTGCCTAGGCTAGTAGCGTGTGCCTGGAACATGAAATGGGCTGGATGACACGCGGTGGCCTAGAGCAGCAACCTCCTCGGCGGGCCGCAGCTCGGCGCCGCGCCGCGTTGCCGAGGCATCCATGATCCATCTCGCCGCGGGCCGGCCTGACGCTGCTTTCGCGATGGGGCCATGGCCCATGGGTGCGCGCGGATGAAAACACGCCGGGCAGAAAAGGGAGACCCCGGTGTCTAGCCTCTTGGGCCCAGGGAGCGGAAGTCGCATCGATTATTGATCAGGCTTGGAGTCAAATCGTGTGGATGTGGCCTGCTCATGTTCATATTAGCTTACTGGGCCTTCACAGCTGAGAGTTCTACTACTACGACATACCTGGGCGTGGGCCCCTTGGTTTGGGGGCAGCTCGGACGGCTGCCCCGTTCACCCGCTGGACCCACTACTGGCTTTTATCATCGATTTGTGCCTTGAATTGATAGTGAAAATTTATTTTTGTTGGTTTTATGATTGTTGGTTTTATCAAAACCGACTGTGAAAAAGTATTGGTAAAAATGGTTTTTTTAGCAGCGTCTAGCTCCACTTTATAACATAAGAGTCTTAGTCACGCAGATGCTCACACATGCCTATACTCACTCACACCCTGTAAGCATAAGTTTGCATACCTAGGGGTAGGGCTCAATTGAGTCTCGTGAGCCGTGGACTGCTAGCCTAGTAAAATTAGAAAATTACAACTCTATGTTATGCCCTCTATGCTTTATTCTTTGATTCTTTCTGATTAGCTTCAATATCGTTATTGGAATGTAACCCAACATCTGCCACTATGCATATAGTACCTCTATGAACGCACAGGGAGATTTAGAAAGACACTATAAAGCTTTACTGTTCCCTTGAGATTGTACAAATGTAGAACCTCACACGCACACTCACCCTTTAAATGCATTCACACACCCCTACCAGTGAGCACCTCTGAGAGATTGATAATTCCACCACACGAGCCTCATATAGATAGGTGCGTTGCATTTGCGTAGAATGTTCTTGCATTACACTATCTTTTCCACAAGTAACTGGTGGCAGATATAGGGGATGGCTCGATTGAGAACAATCTCTTCTTCTTTGGAATACGGTAGGTACCACTTAATTGAGAGCTAAAATAATGCTTCGATCGGGGGCCCCGGTAGAAAACAAGACTCACTATACCATGTATGTATAAGTTTGTACATAAAAATAACCATAAAGGCTATATTTTGAACACAAATACACATAAATAGGATAATACAACTATTTTAATAATCTAGGGGTTAAATGTACCCTCAGCAGACATTAAGCCAATTCACAAACATCGAAAAGTATGCTCACACAGAGTTGACGTACATTGAAGCTATAACATCCTTGAGGCTGAATGAGAGGGTGAATGCGTCTTCATGCTTGTACATGAAATCCATTGTTCTTGCAACGTTGACCGCTGTCTCTAAAAGTACCATGGGACGTTTTTGCTCAAGGTAGTCTTCGACGATGTCCATCCATGCTTCTTCGATTATAATTCTAAGCTTTTCATTGGCTTCCTCTACTGTCACCCCATATTCCTTCATGCAAGTTTGCACCGTGGATGCGACATGCTCCGAAGTTTGTTCACGCTTCAAGGTGTGGCGAAAAGTGCAAATAGTTAGAATATAAACATTTCCACTGCTTACAATAATATTTAAAAATGAGCTAATAACATTTATAAGTAGTTTATTTATATGTGGAGAGATTTGGTAAACCTCGTGTGACACGATGTCATTGCCAACACGCCCCACGATACAAGCACCTCTGATGATTTTGGGGAAGGTGAGAGCCCAATCAACATCCTCCCTTGTAGTCACCTCTCCAAGCGAAATGAGCGCAAGGTTTGTTATCTGCATACAAACACTACTACGGGTGGAAATTTGGAGGTGTTCTTCGACCCTAGTTGGTATGTAGTGTTTATCACGCCATTCAACCTCAGCATGGTAGAATTTGGCAGTTTCAATCACCTAAATAGATAAATGTCATGAGTTAAAATTAACTGAAAAAACTCATCATGTTTCCTGCCTTAATGTGATCTTTTGGAGTTCATTACCAGTCTTTTGATCAAATCAGCATGCTTGTTTTTCATAAGTTTTAACTCCTCCTCAATCTTATTTGTAGTGTTTAATATGTTGATGAAGAGTGCTTTCAAGTATGCTGGAAGCTGTTCTGTGGTTTGTTCATCCCACCTGGCATTAGTTTTCGAGCAAAGGTAAATTTAGGTGATGCATGAATTTTGTTCATCCTGTTACTTGTGATCCAACATAATAATTCAAGAACGTATAGCTAGGCAAACCTTTGCATGGCCGCGGTGAAGGTAGTGCTCTCCATTGTGGTGCTATAGTTGTCATAAAGGTCATCGAGCAAGGATGCAAATACGATGAACTTTGTCATCATTATCCTTGAATATGAATAATAGGGATCGTAAACCACCCCGAGCATCCAAAAATGTAGCTCCACCATTCTGTCCCGCGCAAAGCTCAGATCTGTTTGTGATTGGAAATCCTTCCACCACCTATACATGAGTATTACTAGTGTTGTATCACAATGCGCACTATAATCGGTTCATTATGTAAGCAATTTAGTTAAGTAATTTATATGCCAATGTTTGTTTCCTTACACTGTTATTATTATATTGGTCAATTGCGTAAGTAACTCGCCTAAGTAAATTATTGCTACCAACATATACTAATGCATGGGGTTTCCTTACACTGTAAGTTCTTTCAACTCATCACAGTAGATAGCTTGCAAGATGTTGTAGTCTAGTTTTGCAAACTCCAGTATGGTCGCATCCCGTGTAGCCTTCTTCTCATATACTGAGATGTAGCGCCTCGCCTCGACTCTGCTGACCCGCCTGAACCGAGGTGTCTCCAAAGTGCACTGGACTTCCTCTCGTAGCTCTGGCTCCAAATTTTCCAGCAGTAGAGATTGGAGGTGGCTCTTGTTGAAAGTGATGATGTTGTCAAGTATCTCCTCCCCATGAGTTCTCAGATGCGCAGCATCGTACAACATCAGCAAGTAGCTGACATCATCACTTGAAATGTTCCCTTGTTCATCCCTGAATTTCTCAAACACATCTGCACACACATAATTGAACATTCATTCATGCATATGTGAACACAGCTCAAATGAAAGGAAGTCAGCAAAATAACCTGACAACATTGTAAGATTTAGCTGTATGTAGTCAAAGAGGCTGAAAATTTTCCATTTTCTAAAAAACTCTATGAAAGGAAACATATACTGGTTAGTTCTTAGTTGACGATCTTACATACCTGAAGAGACTCCGTACCCATGCTTCCTGAGCAAATAGAACCTCAGTGAGGTGATGTAGAGATTGCTAGAGCCTCCATCTTTGTCGTTGTAGACATAGCAAAGCAAATCATTGATCTCCTTCTTGTAGTGATAGTCCACCCCAAGTCGTTGAAGCCTGTCGACAAGCTCCATCTTCTCAACCAGGCTGGAGGAGGCAAGGGTTTCTAATATAACCTGCCTCACTTCTTCCTTGTTGATCTGTGCCTTCTTCTTCATTGAGAAGAGCTGCAATGGATAAATTGATAAAGGGAAATATCTGTAAAGTAATCTGTTGCTCCCCTGTACGCGTGGCAGGGGCAGGCACCGAAAGGGCTCCCCTACTGCTGCACTGTAGCCGCGACAGGGGCAGGCGGCGAAAGGCTCCCCTGCCGCACTGTAGCCACAGCAGGGGTAGGTGCCAAAGTCAGTCATGCTGTCACATCTAGTCACTGTAGCAGCATGGCAGCCTGACATGTCTGTGTACTAGGATTAGATGGATAGGGTTGTATATATATAGCTTCCCACTGCAACTCAGTAAAGAGAGCGAGTTTAGTTTTGTCATCTTCTCTGTAGAGCTTTGGCCAACGCTAGTGTTTGTGCTGTGTGTATGTGTGCGCTCTGTTCTCCCTCCATTCTTCTACCTCTAGCTATAGTGAGCGAGAACGCCGGTGACCAGCCGGCTCACCCGTGCGGAAGATCTCGGGACCAACAATATTCAGCCACAAGCAAGCACCATTTGATTCACATATGGGCAACAAAACCTCATTAAATCAACATATTTTTGTTTGAAAAATTAGTTTGGAGTCAATATATATATATATATATATATATATATATATATATATATATATATATATATATATATATATATTGCATGGTTTGTTGCATACCATGCTTTGAAATTTGAAGCTCTACTCAAAGTATATGTGAAGAAACAAAGTAAAAATTAAGTTTGCCATGAAAACCACTATTTGTGTTACTGTAGCTCATTAAAATACATGAATATCACCTAATATACGTACACTGACGGCATCATTAGCTAGGCAACATATAGCTTATATCCACAATGAGACTGGTTCCAGTACGCCCAAAATCTATCCATGTGTCTGCAACGACAGGAAGGGAACAATAATGGCGGCCGCCTTGCATGTACCTTACCTGTGATGGAGTGCATGGGATGTGGTGGAGGAAGAAGTCGCCCCATGGGCTTGGGGTGTATGGCCGGGGCTTCCGCTGCTGCACCTGCGAGATCAGAGCGATGGGGCTGCTGGTGGCCATATCGATCTATCCTAATGTCTGATGGGTCGCTGGCGAGGATGGCTATAACCTCGAGAGGATGGCTGATGGGGTTGCCTAGGTAGCTCGGAGGAGATGAGCAAGATTGCCTGGCTTTATATAGACCCCCGAACCGGAGGAATCGAATAAATCAATATTCCACTACCACCAGTGAAAAACACCATTTTTGAGATAATATATGTGACAGAACCGCCCAATCTATATAATATGAAGTATGGCTCCTCCCGCTTAGCACATTGCATGCACATACTTTCACTTATATAAATCCGATAGTCCATCAAGTATCACGAAGGACCTCGATAAATCCACATCACAACCAAGATCGCATGATTAAGCAAATACACATCACATACCCAGAGTTTGCAGCGGAAATAATATTACAATTGAGTTCACAAATATTTAGTATAATAATGAGTTCAAATCTGATTAGTGAAAACAATATAGCTTTGAAATACTTACAACAACATAAGTTGAAATACATGGCTAGCTTAAATAACATCCTCCAACAAAAGCATATAAACGATGAATAAATACGGAGCCGCCGAGCCCACCGGCACTTAGTCACCACCTTCAGCAGGCCAAGAAAGAACTTCACCTGTAACTGGGTGGGATAAACCCTGAGTAATAGAATGTACTCAGCAAGACTTACTCGATATTAGAGAAATACAAAGACTTAAGATTTCATAAGTTTTCAGGAAGTCTAAGATCACCCTGTTGGATGCTTATAACTCCAGTTATGATTAAAACAAGTGACTGTTGTGCTGCAGTTCAGAAAATGCTTAAGTTGATTGCTTTAGCTTGCTCTTGTTTGAATTTTTGTTAGTATTAGTTCATGCTCCAATAAAATTAACTTATACCTGAGACCTTGTGAAACTGTGCCATGATGTGCAACTTGAACTAATGAATATCAACCTAGGGTCAATTTTGTTGCGCATACCTACCTGTAGTCAGATATCAACAAACACAAGTTGCTCCTTGATGGTCCAGGACTACAATTTCTCTTGTCCACTTGTGGCAAATACACGTGATGAAGACATATTTTCCACATGTGCCACATGACAACGACATATATATTTATGTATATGTATATATGTCCTCTGAATTTTAGACGTTGTTCACGCATGCATCATCGCAATCATCCGTAGTCTGATTATTAGATGTCTCGGTTTCATTTTTCAGTTTCACTGTATCAACAGTACTGTGATGTTGGGCACGCGGTGCAGCACCCGCACACCTAAAATATAATATCAATGCTATCACATGTATGTATATACTTGGCCATAAGGCACTAGGCCCGATGGCCTGCCCACGGCCTGACCTAAGCATGGCAAGGCCCGGTAGCCGTCGGGCCGAGGTCGGGTTGACCCGAGCCTAGGGCCGTGCCTGGGCTGCACCCTCGGCATGGTGTGCAGGCCCGACATGGGCCAATAAGTTGTAGGCCAGCGAAGGCCCATGTAAGCCACCCTTATCTCTCATATATAACAATCAGTAAACCCTACATTCTTTCCCAACTTCCGTCACCGCATGCACTCCTCCACTCCGCTTAGGGCTAGACAAAAAACTCGTAGCTCGCTAGCTCGCTCGACTCGGCTTGTTAGTGGCTTGGCTCGGCTCGACTCGTTTGAATTTTTTAACAAGCCAAGCCAACAGTTTAGCTCGGTTAGTTAATGAGCCAGCTCGAGCAAGCTCGCAAGCCGCTCGTGAGCCAAAACAAGCCCAGATAAGTAACAAGCCAACAACTTTAATCTGTTAAGAATTTCTCAATTAGAGGATTGATGGGCTCATACCATATATGCCCTGATGGGCTCCTACCATATATGCCATCGTGGCTACCATATATGCCCTGAAGGCATATATATAAAGGGACTAGATGTATACGTAAAAGGACTATGAAGAGATGGCTCCCCTATACTTGTGTCTCCTGTGTGTTCTTGTGTTTTGTTCTTGGGATTGGGCAAGGGAGACCGGATCTATCTACGACTTCCATCTACACACCTCTTTCTTGGGACTAGGAACGAGAAAACGGATATGGAGATCCATACATAGGCCGATTCTCAACATAATCAGCCCATATATCACTTTATCTATCGCCTAACACATGGATGATAGCATACTTATATTTTCCATTGTAGAATTCACAGGTATTTTGTTTTATTCCATTTAAAATATGTCTGTGATGTGTTTGTTGCTGACTTATGGTTATAATCTCTATGTAATATGCTTTTGTGCTTTGGCTCACGAGCCAAACGAGCTAGCTTGAGCTCGCTAACGAGCTGAGCCGAGCTAGACTTCTGGCTCGTTTGTATAATGAGCTATAACGAGCCGAGCCATAATGAGCCGAGCCATAACGAGCTGAGCTGGCTCGATATCCAGCCCTAACTCCGCTGCTCTTATTCGCGGTCACCCTTATACCCATCGTGAGGCTGCGCACACCCTTCTCCATCCCGACATCGCCTCTCCGCCTCCCATCCAGACACCGCCTCTCCGCCTCCCATCCCGGCTCTGCCTCTCTCTCACTCTCATCTGCGCTCGACAACCAGCGCCTAGCGATGGCACAACAGCTCCCGTCGGCAGCGCAACTGCTCCCATCGCACGACGACGGTTCATGTAACACACCTGGTGTTACGAGCTCGCTAAGCACTGAGATTATGGCCTCAGAGATAGATCTATCAATATAGTGAGTTAGTTACGTAAATGCTTATATGTGTTAATGAAAAAAAATCCTAACACGAAGAGTAGAATAAGTAGTTCTAAACATTGGCACGGAAGCAAATTTTTATAAACAAAAATACAATATGACTTGTATATAGTATTTAAATAAAATTCGAAGTGTAAGTCTGGTAGATGGAAATGCAACTTTTGTTTCGGTAAATAAATGTTGTTCGATAGTATTTTGATAGATCGAGGATTGAAGTTGGAATTTAATTCCAGCCTCTAGTACTAAAATGATCTAGCCTAAAAACCTAATGATGATGTCGTTTTGGCATTTAGATTTTGATTAATTTTCTTAAACACTAGATTCATATTTTTGCACTGTTGGTTGTCCCAAGGTGAGCACTCGAGAATGGTGTAGGTTATAGTTGTGTTGAGTGTCACGTGGATCTTGAAAATTTTTGCCTAAGTTCATTAGAACGCGCTGCGAGCTCTGTGTCAACGCTCTGTCGCGAACCGGAACTTCGAAGACGAACTCATCTTAGCACGCATGTATCTTCCTCTCGGGTGGTCCTTTTGTTGTGCGGATTGCTCCGTTAGATAGCTGATAAGATCAACTTTAGAGTCGTGGAATTAGTTGAACCTCAATCGTGATCGTTAGTAGTTTTTCATTCGCTTTAAAACTCGTGCGTAGCTACTGTCGATTGTAATGCCGTTCGCGCGCGCGTGCCAGGAGGCGCTCTTGTCCGTTGCTGTTCGGTCACTGCAGCGCTCGCTCTCAGCCACTCATCTCATGTACCTCGTCCCTGTCCGACGCGTGCGTTAATGAGGAGAGGACTGAGCCGCTGCTACCTACTTCCCTCTCTGCCTCCCCCTCGTGTTTTCCCTCTCGTTCTGCTGCTCGTCATGAGCACGCCGCCATGACCGAGCAGAGCAAGCTGGCCACCACCCAAGCTCCTTGCCGCTGCTCGTTCTCCCTATTCCATCCCTACACCACCGCCTCGCTCGCAGAGCAAAGCAAACGGAGAAGAAGCAGGGAAGGCGAGAGGTGAGGAGGTGGCGCCTGCAACAGCAATGGGAACGGACCTGGGGTTCGAGGAGACGGAGCTCCGGCAAGAGGGGCTTCGTCGAGACCATCGACCTCAAGCTGAAGCTGGAGCCGGCGACCCCCGCGGCCGTCGTGAAGGCGGAAGAGGACCAGCAGGACGACGGTGCTGCCGTTGCCGCCGTCAAGGAAGCCGTGGCTGCCGCGGAGGAGGCCGACGGGAAGATGAAGCGGTGCCCGAGCCAGAGCAGCGTCGTCACCGCCGCCGCCGCCATGCAGGCTGACCCCATCGAGAAGCCGTGCGCCCCCAAGTACGTCGCCGAGCACTTGTTTCTCCTCCCTGCTGTCTCTCCCTCTCCAGCTTCGTTCGTTGATCTAGCTACCTCTGCTTAGCTCCGGACATACATGCATGCATGCTTAGCTCTCTAATCGATCATCTCATGTCCGCATGCACCTGCCATGATCAGTTCATTTGTTTGTTCATATATATATATGTGTGCATTTTATATACTCCCAGGAGTAGTTACTCCCATAATCAATAAATCACATTGCGTATGTGTACATACTCATTTATCAGTTTGAGTATGTTGACATACTAATATTAAGATACTCCAGATCTTTACTATGTGAATTTTTTCCCCAAAGAGTACATATTTTTTAATATATTATATAATACTATGATAGTAGCATATAAAATAAGTATAACCATATACTCTAAGTATACATACATACTTGTCATACATATTATCCTAGATGGTCTAGTATGATGATATACTCCATCTACGTACACTTCGTTGGGCCATATACGCCCTAAATCTAAAGATATACACATGGGAGTAACTACTCCCTACGAGCAGAAAATAATTTCCCTATATATATATGTATATGTATATGTACTATATATATGTATATGTATATGTATATATATATATATATATATATATATATATATATATATATATATATATATATATATATATATATAGTTCATTTGTTTGAACAATATATATAGTAAAGATTGATGCAACGACCAAAGGCAAGGGGAAAGCACACAAACTTTTCTTTTTTCATGCAGCAAGTTAGAACAGCACAGGTTGGATCTAGCGCCCCCCCCCCCACACCACACACACACACACACACATATATATATATATATATATATATATATATATATATATATATATATATATATATATATATATATATATATATATATATATATATATATATATATATATATATATATATATATATATATATATATATATATATATATATATATATATATATATATATATCATCGCAACAGCTGCCAACTGATTGAACGGATATGATATGAACTAGTACACTATTAGCAATAGATGATCGAGCGATGCAGGATCGGAGGAGAGACATGGACAAGTTACGTGTGGGGGCAGCGGGAGACAACGGCTAGTGCCGACACAATAAAAGAAAGAAAGCCCCCACCACGTGCTGCTACTGCCTGTTGCTCCCTTGCTTTGCTCTACTCTCTCTCTCTCTCTCTTACTAGATCTCTTTCCCTGGCTGACACAGTAACAGTGTCATTTTTGTCCACATCAACATCATTTTCCACATCTCACTTTCACTTGGCTGTTCGTTCATGCATCCTGATGGATCGCTCCAGGCTTCGAATTGATGGCACGGTAGAACAGAGAGCTACTAGTAGGTTTTTAAATATATATTTAATCAATTCAATGTCAAAAATAATTGAGGGTTTGTAGAACAAAAACATTTTCTAGGAATGAGTCTTACTTGACAACGTGGATACGTAGACTAGCACGTTAGAGCTATCTCGTTAGCTTGTGAGTAATCGAATTTCTAAGAGTTTTGGTGGTCGTTGATTATTTACATCTATATGTTGCATCCACGTATATCATAATAAGAAACAATGATGGATCGTGGAGATGACCGGAGTAGCAGAAGAGATGGTGCCTTGGTGATCGTGTCGCCACGATGGAAAGCTAACTTGGTTATATCTTATCAAGGCAAGCCCCGATGCATAACCTCTATTATTCTGTACTTTGTTTTATGCTTGTGCATTAAGTTTAAGGAGTTGAATGAAACCTACTTGCATATATATCCTTACCCTATGAGTCTTACTAGTATGACAGGATCGTGTAGATTGCTATGCTACAGGACTCCGGTAGAAGTCGAGTGATTGCCGGTCACTCGCGAGAGATAGGAAAGATATTATTATTGCTATTATGATATTATCACCTGAAAAATATATATGAATGATAATTGGAGACCAGGCGGAATGGTACTTTGGATCTAGACTTGGTTTGGCATTCGAGCGAGGCTCGGGTTGCACTTGTTCTTCCTGTGTCGGTTAAGGACCGGCCGTTGCAATGGATGGTAGTCAGGTCACAGACTTATTATCCTAAATACATACTTGTGTATAGGCGCGGGAATGCTCATTGCTCTCTTGTCATGGGTTTCGGCTCTTTCCAGACCGGCTGATTAGAGGCGGGGATGGTGGAGGTCTGAGCACCGCACTGAGTCCGGGACTTAGGAGCGGGGGCTTAGAGTCCAAGTTTGGATGGGGACCTGGACCCCGTGACAGGAGGGTAGTGGGTTGGTCTTGTTTGTGCCTGGGGTACAAGCGGGGCGTGTGTTTTAGGGTACCTAGCTGGGATACATTGGTTCGCGAATCGCCGGATGATCTGGTACGACTTGTCTACAGTCTAGCATCGTAGTAAGAACTGAAATATGAAAAATGGTAAAATGGTTCTGATTGCTTATCACCTGCTTGAAGGTAGCACATGTGCTTACCTAGAATGGATAGTTAATGAACTAATGATGACTACTAATAAAATTGAATATAAGGATGCACGCTTAGTAATGCCTCCTGCAGATGCATTAAATTCACAAGCCAGATAGCCTTGCATATCCTTGGAGTCTTTTCTTTCCTCCTCATGGGTAAGTCTTGCGGAGTACAATTGAGTACTCAGGGTTTGTTCTACCCTCTTGTAGGTGACATGCGGATGCTAGAGCTGACACTTATGTGTGGATTCATCCTGGTGGGCTCAGAGAGGATTCCTTTACGCTGTGATCATAGTTTTTATTTATAACTCTCACTAAATGTTTTTATAAATAGAAGTTACATAATCTGTTGTCATAGTTTATATATCAATGCTTCATCATGTCATGAATAGATATTTATTTTCGCTGTAATTCTGATCACATGTTTATATTTCGCCGTTAAATTAAATTGTTCATAACTCTGATAACATGATTATATTCCGCTGTTATAAATAATAAATATCATGTTCTGATGTTGCATGAAAAGTGATGTAAGAAATGGCTAAAATATTGTAGACTTTATTCTCTCATTTGTGATCCTGATGGAAAAATGTGGATTTTCGGGTTCTCCGTTAGAGTGTGCTCGACGGAACTGCGTGATTTAGTGTTTTCCCTTGAGTACTTAGTGTCTAATGAAAGACAAGTACTCCTAGGAGGCATTAGATTAGGCGGTTCTACCACAGTTCAGCAGCGGCTCCCGCCCGTGGTGGCACAGCAGCTCCCCCCACGGCGACGGCGGCGTAGCAGCTCGTGCCTGGGCCGGCTCTGGCAATTGGGCTAGTTAGGCCGTCGGACCGGCACGACACGGCACGAGGCCTTTAGAGCCGTGCTTTGGCCGTTGGTGCCGTCCGTGGGCTGGCACGACACGCCCGCTGCACCTGACAGGCCATGCCGGCCCGTGACCACTGGGCCGTGCCGAGCGAGATGTGTCAGGCTTCAAATGGAGAGGATATGTCCCTAAAAAGTGAGAGTGGTCAACTAAAATAACAAGATATGTCAGGCTGTGCACGCCCATCTCCATCCTGACATCGCCTCTCCGCCTCCCATCCAGACGCTGCCTCTCCGCCTCCCATCCCGGCTCTGCCTCTCTCTCTCTCTCTCTCTCTCTCTCTCTCTCTCTCACTCTCAAGCCTCGACAGCCCAGAGCCTAAGCGGTGGCAAGCTGGCAGCCCCAACAGACGGCGACGGTTCAAGCAGCTCTCCCAGCAGTGACGGCGGCATAGCAGCTCGTGCCTTGGCCGCCTCGGCACATTGGGCGGGCCAGGCCGTCGAGCCGACGACGACACGGCACGAGGCCTTTAGGGCCGTGCTTGGGCTGTTGGTGCTGTCCGTGGGCTGGCACGACACGCCCGCTACACCTGACAGAGCCATGCCCGCCCGTGACCACCGGGCCGTGTCGAGCGAGATGTGTCAGGCTTCAAACGGAGAGGATATGTCCCTAAAAAGTGAGATTGGTCAACTAAAATAACAAGATAATACTTGTAATTAACCCGAGACACTGGAAATAGGAGATGTCCAAATATCGCAATAATGTAATTAACCAGGTCACTCTGATTACATGGAAGAGCACAGAAGTGCTACCTAATAATTTGAGGGGAGATAAGAGCATCGCGAAGGTGTAAAGAAAGGAGCATGAGTACGTAGTAGGCAAAGATGTAGGGCCAACTGAAAAGACCAGAAGAAGAGAAGAGAAGCGTTGCCAACAATTATGTCAGGAGGAGACGTGTGAGGTGATATAGAGAGATCACCACCCTCCCAAATCATGTGTACCACACAGCCAGTGTTGGAGGGAGGGAGCCATGAGCGTCATCGTGTTCAATGAGTTCGCGAGCTGCAGGCTGCTGCTGATCCCAACCAAAAGCCATGGCAGAGAACGCTTGGCTGCAGCGGACGCTTGAGGTCGAGGGCCAAGAAGACCTGGCATTGGGCCACGCGCGAGCCGGGCCAGAATAGACTTGAAAGGTGATGGTTGATGGGCTGTACAGTGTTGGCAGACCGGGCCTCCTTGTTGACAAGAAATTGTTCCTCAAGACCAAGCCACACAGCTGACCGGGGCAATAGCTTCACGTGAGGCTGTCTCCGACACGAGACCCATTGCGAAACCTAAACCCAAAATGGATCTTCAACATAATATTTATAGCCTTCAACAGACTACCTATATAGAAGACTCATTTTAGGTGCTAGGAGAGGTATAACCCAAATCTGAGTATCCTCTCTCCTGTAGACCCATTTGCAGAAAGGGTTGTCTTTTGGGTCTTGTTGTTAGAGAAGACAAAAAATAAGTATTAAACCCTTTGCCTGTAGCGCCACCCAAAGGACGAATGGATCTTGTATTTTGTGTCGCGGTTGTTGGAGACAGTATGACAAATTAAGAAAGCCGTGCTAGCTGTTTGGTTCAGTGCTGTGTACGACAATGGTAATGGGAGCAGTTGCAGCCGCAAATTGTTACAGGGGAACTGAAAGCGCCATTTGGTTGGCTTTGGAACTGTGATCAACAAAGCCATGTGTTACAAGCCAGGAGCGTGCGGGGTGTTGGGGGGGTGGATTTCTTTTTCCCGAGCTGGGAGCGGATAACGGCAGGAGATCAAGGAGGGGGGAGTGGTCGTGTATAGGTCGGATCCATTCACGGTGTCATCTATTACGGACCGGGCCATCCAAACGCGAAACAAGGTTGTCTCTTCGATCACGCTGTTAATCGATGCGGGGCTGAAAAGCGCGAACCAAACAGCTCCTTAGTGCCAGCCGTGCCAAATAGTGCTAGTGTCGTGTCACCCATTTGGCCATCTTTAGGTCCCGGCTAGTTAAGTCTCTACAACGAAAGCACTTCATATGTGAGGAAATCTCGACGACAACAGAGAGATTTTTTCCCCCTTCAAATTAAAATACAATTCCACTTATTTTTACCAGATTCCGGATTGAATTATTAGTACACTATTTATTACCATACTACATCCGGTCCAATCTGTGTAGATTGTAGTTCACTTCAGCATGGTCATAGACGTTTCCTCAGCAGCTTGCATGGAGTGACCAGAAGTAGCACGAAGTTTGGGAACGGGAACAAGCATGAGCTTCTCCTTTAGATGCACCGTCACTCCAAACACCTCTGTCATGTCAACACCCTTCTCCATGCCGATGGGCAGCTGCCAGTCAAAGCAGTACATGAGGTTTGCTAGCATGATCTCAACAGTAGCCATCCCAAAGTTGATGCCAGCACAGATCCTTCGTCCAGCTCCGAACGGCAGGAACTGGAAGTGGTTCCCTCTGAAGTCGATGGCCGCAGCGCTGCCACCGTCCATGAACCTTTCGGGCATGAACTCCTCCGGCTTCTCCCATGACTCCGGGTCTCTGCCAAGAGCCCATGCGTTGAGGATGACCCTGGTGCCGGAGGGGACATAGTAGCCGCCATCGACGACGCAGTCCGCCATGGAGAGGCGAGGCACGAGGAGCGGGGCAGGCGGGTGCAACCTCAATGTCTCCTTCACGACGGCTCTCAGGTAGGGCATGTTAGGAAGGTTCTCTTTCTCCACCGTTTCTTGTCCCTCTGGTGTGTGCTTTCTCACTTCACCTTGTAGCTTAGCCATCTGCTGTGGGTTGCGCATCAGCTCGGTCATGGTGAGCTCCAGGACCAAGGATGACGTGTCTGTGCCCGCGTCGAACATGTCCTAGTTATCATCAAATATGTAGTTCAGGACGTATATAAATGAGAGGATCGATTCTGTCTGTTGGGTATACTACGGTACTCACCACCAATATGGCCTTAACATGATCTCTGGTCATACCATATTCTTTCTGAACGGAGAGCAACACATCGGTGAAGTCACCTCCGTCATGGTGATGCATCATAGAGTCTCTTCTCTCGTGGTCGCTCGGTATGGTTTCAAGCAGCTCGTCCCATCTCTTGTGCGTCTCGTGGGCCCTGTTGCGCAGAAACCATCTGCTAAGGAAACCTAACGACCTCGCCAGCCCAGGGAAGTAGTCTTTTAGGTTGAACCCTCCAAACCCTCCACCAGCTCCCGGAAGAGCTTGTTCCGGCCTTCTGCCCGGAAGAACTTGCCCGACACGGCGCGGCTCACGATATCCACTACCGGAGGCGGCTTCTTTGCCGAGTGCCTCATGCACTCGGCAAAGGCCGATATGCACTCGGCAAATCCTTTGTCGAGTGTTACACTCGGCAAAGAGCGCTCGGTAAACAATTGATCGGCAAAGACCTCTTTACCAAGTGCACTTTATCGGGCACTCGGCAAAGCGATCTGACACTTGGCAAAGAAAAGTCACCGTGACGGTGAGCGCCACCGTGACGGCGGCTTTGCCGAGTGTCAAGGTCAAGCACTCGGCAAAGGTCGCCTCTTTGCCGAGCGCCGTTGATGGAAACACTCGGCAAACGTGGACACTGTGCCGAGTGCCACCGTCAAGAAATAATGAATCGGGTGCTGAGTTTCTTCAGAGGTTCCAGGAAACAGGAAATTTGTGCTTTTCATTGAATTTGACTGATGATCAGCTAACTGCTTTGGCTGTTCAAGGAATGTTGCCAACATGGATAGAAAAACTGCTTGGACAAGAGTTTGACAATTTAGGTCAGTTGGCTCAACGGGTGGCAGCACTTAATAGCCAATTCCAGAATATGCGTAGAGATACCTGATTCCAGAAGAATGCTGCAATTGCTGAAGCTTATAATCCATATTTAGCTGATGATGGTGAGGATAATGAAGAAGAGGAGATTGCTGCGGCTGAATGGAATTGGGGTAAGAAGATGGTGATGGTTCCAAATCTTTGGGGAAAAAAAGTTGAAGAAAGTTATGATTTTGACGTTACAAGGACACATGACATCCAGGTGCATATTAGGATGAAAGAAACATGGACACGTATCAAACACGGAAGCTTCATCAGGAAGGATTCTGCATAAGGGAAATTAGAGTCTATATATCTTGATATTTCTTTTTGTTATCTAGTCGTGTTCGTTTAGGACTCTTATCAGCCTAGGGTATAAATATAAGCCCCCGGCTATTGTAACAGACAACACACATCAATCAAAATCAGTCTTTACTTTTTTGGCTTCACGCCAATCCTTAGGAGTAGGAGTAATGTAGCTTTTTGATGAATTCTTCAATAAGCAGGGCTGCATCAATTCGGTCGACCTCCGGCTTGTCTGTAAGTACCGTCATGGCTTATACTTTTGTTCGTAAGGCTACATCGGTCCGGCCAACCTCTTACGAGCTCTAGTATAAGTTAGTTATCGATCCTTATTTAGTTCAAGTATGGCTGTATCGGTTAAGTTCGACCTCCACTGCTCGAATTAGATTAAGGTCAAGTAATTGACTCTACCTAAGGGTGACATCCTTCGGGTAGATTCATTAAGTTACCGATCTTGCTGATGTTCTTATTATCATTAGTTTTAGCAATATCAACTTGCCCGATCGAGATCGATCTAGATCGGCCTCACATCCTTTTAGTCCGTCGTTTATTTTGTCACACTGCGATGGTTCTTACTTTAAACGACGGATTATATTTTATCGGCTATTTTACTTCAATCTTGATCGTGCATAGTACGCGGCTAAGGCACGTCTGATATTGAGAAGGTTTACTGGCTAGATGAATCTGGTCTATAGCTCGCATGTTAGATTCAGAGCGTTTATAGATTCATTTGTACTAGACAGTCAATTTGTTCGCATGTTATATCCTTTCTCGTTAAACTTATCGGCTCAATACTTTACATTGGTTATATCCATCTGCTGATGATGTTTCTTTATATTACTTATATTTGGGGGTATAGTACTTGTTCTGTCATCATAAATCAATCATGACCCGCGGGTGTTATAGTCGTTAACAGTCGATTTCTTCTCGTATCGGCTATTTAGTTGATTTTCACGTTTGGCTGCTCCTGAAACGGCACACTTGGAACTGTCTGGGCAAAACCGGCATGTTTCACCCTAACTTACTGATAAACTTTCTCTCCTTGTCAATTGCTGGTCAAATTGACTAGCATGCCCTTCGGAATTCGCAGGATCGACCGCTCCTGCATTGAAGCCAGGCAGATCTCCAGATTATTCCGGCTTGCTGCGTGTCCACCCGACACGGCTACCACGTTTTGGCGCCGACATGCTTTTTGGCACGCTCGGTGGGACCACAATTGTTTGATTAGAAGTCAGCCGAAATTGATCATTATGCTGAATCTTCAGGACTGTTCTAAGAACGTCATCCATATTGCCAAGATTTACCACCGCATGAGGCTTGCAAGCCAATCCTTCCATACGTGTCATCTGCATGGGGCCGGTTGTGACGTGTGGCAACACGTTGACACTCCAAGTGATAAACTCAAGAAGATCAAAAGCTACTGCTCCTGTACTCCACCGCTCAAAGAACTATTTGGCTGAGCGCACACAGAGATATTCACTCGGCTTGGTCAGACTACTAGCTTAAAGAAGACTTATATAGTACATTGATTTGGATCGGAGATGATGGAAAGGGACTATATTGGTCATATATATCAAATCAGATATGGTGTGCTCAAGCACATGTTGGAGAAACTCCTAGATGGAATTTTTCATTGGGCAAGCAGTATAAAAGTGATATTTATGGAAACTTGCCGATGGAGATCGTCTGTCTGAAAGTGGAATGCTCGCTAAACCGATGCAGCCTCGAAGAGCCGATTTCCATATTGCAATAGCCGATAAATTTCTTTGCGAATGACTTCAAGTTGCTTCATCAGCTTGATAAGGATCCAGGGGCAGGTACAGAGATCAGATTAATGATTATTATAATTTTGGTACAAGGAATCGACTGTTGAGGAGAAGAATCGGCTATTGGCTTAATTTCAGAAGAAACTAGCAAGGGATTCAGATTTTAGAAGTAGTCTTGGCCCAAGCAAGTACGGTGACCACATGAGTATATCATCACCGAAACACACCTCGAAGAACAAGCTAGAGGGTCTCACTGTGCAGTAGGCACTGGACGGCAAAAAGCCATCCTGGGCCACATTCAAAAGTATCGGCTGAGTAGAGAGCGTGTTAGTCGATATAGTGGAGTAATCAGATTCTTCTTAAAAGCTCGAAGAGGGATATCTGCTTGGAGAATATCGGCAGCAGAAGTCCACAACAGTCATCTAGGCAGCCAATACTTCTACAAAGGTGGTCTAAAGAGATGCCAGCTAATATCAGCACATCGGCTATTTACAGTTTGGCGTACGCACAACCAATGTGATCAATGAGGTAAGAATATTAACCAATGTCTTCTGGAAATATATTGCCAGGGCTGCTGTTAATAGAATTCCTAGCAGTAGAAGTTGCAAGATTCTATTTTTGGAAAATTGGTGGTAGTACTTTGAGAAGCCATCATGATATGACCTTATTGGCTATGAGAATTTATAATTTAAAGCCGGTAGCCCTCAATGGATATCAATGCAGCTTCTGGTTATATCTTGAATTCTTTCATCAGCTATTGTTTCTTGATGCAATCAATAGCCGATGGAGGTAATAACAAAGGATAGCCGATGGATGGATTTTTGCTCTGGTTAAGCATATTCTATCGGCTTATTACCTAAGCTTGTTCACGGTGGAATCACAATCATTTGAGAAGTCAGGGATCAGCTCCAATATTGAAAAGTATTCGGCACTATTCTGAGGCAAGCTGGAATTCACATACGAAGGAAGTTGAAGAAGAATTGACTTTGCCTACCAGTTACGTAGTTGCATGTGAGATTATTTAAAAAGTACAAGAGATAAAGTCCGAATGCCACACATGTGCACATGGCCACGTTGATGCTTGGAGTCTGAAGCACGGTGCTTGACAGCAGTATCCGATTGAAGCACAGAGCCGAGGCGGGCCCTACCTATATTCAAAGGCATAACGTATCGGACATTTGATCAAGCTGCAGATGTTGTCATCAGCTGAGGAAACAGTTACTTAACCGAAAATCAAGTATTCGGGTCGAAGACGCCAACAGAAGGTGATCAGTAAGGATTGTTCAAAGCCGATGGAATCTAGACAATCATCATTGGAAGTTGGTAAATACACGTGATGAAGATAATCATCCTTGATGGTCCAGGACTACAATTTCTCTTGTCCACTTGTGGCAAATACACGTGATGAAGACATATTTTCCACGTGTTCCACTTGACAACGACATATATATTTATGTATATGTATATATGTCCTCTGAATTTTAGACGTTGTTCACGCATGCATCATCGCAATCATCCGTAGTCTGATTATTAGATGCCTTGGTTTCATTTTTTAGTTTCACTGTATCAACATAACTGTGATGTTGGGCACGCGGTGCAGCACCCGCACACCTAAAATATAAAATCAATGATATCACATGTATGTATACTTGGCCATAAGGCACTAGGCCCGATGGCCTGCCCACAGCCCGACCTAAGCATGGCATGGCCCGGTGGCCGTCGGGCTCAGGCCGGGCTGACCCGACCCTAGGGTCGTGCCTGGGCTGCACCCTCGGAATGGCGTGCAGGCCCGGCCTAGCCCAATAAGTTGTAGGCCAGCGAAGGCCCATGTAAGCCACCCTTATCTCTCAATCTGTAAACCCTACATGCTTTCCCAACTTCCGTCGCCGCACGCACTCCACTCCGCAGCTCTTATTCGCGGTCACCGTTATACCCATCGTGAGGCTGTGCACGCCCATCTCCATCCTGACATCGCCTCTCCGCCTCCCATCCAGACGCTGCCTCTCCGCCTCCCATCCCGGCTCTGCCTCTCTCTCTCTCTCTCTCTCTCTCTCTCTCACTGCGCTCGACAGCCAGAGCCTAGCGGCGGCGCAGCAGCTCCCAGCGCACGGCGACGGTTCAGCAGCGGCTCCCCCCGCGGTGACGGCAGCGTAGCAGCTCGTGCCT